ATCGAACGATTGATGAAGACAAGCGCGCAAAAACAACCCTGCTCCCAAGGATACACCCCCGAAAGGCATGTCCGAAAGTCGCTCAAGGCTCAATAGTTATTCGTCACTTATGATTTCGTGTTGGTTCGGCCGGTGTGCTCGGTGACCCGGCAGGTTTCGGATCCTGGCTGTGAATGTGAGGCCGCGGTACCGGCACGGTGGTTCGGCGATGCGCTCGCTGGGTGGGCTGTGCAACGGTCGGCGCTTATTATGCGGTGACCACTTACCACCCCGGGCACGTGAGGAGACCTCTCCAACGGGTGAACTTGCCTTCTCCTCATGAACTCACAGCCCCAGGCTGCCTCCTGCCACTACTTTTAATAACCTGTTGCCCTCATTACCAACTCTTCAATCTTCATCATTTCAACAATACTCCAAGCAACACATCACTCTATCAAATTACTTGATCCAATCACTCTACCCAATCACCTCATCATCAAATCATTCCAAAAAAAAAATGACCACGGACACCTTGAGATCTCAGGGATCTCTCAACCCTCAACGATCCGGCGATAAGATTGTGCCTGTCGACAGCAGCAAAGAGCCCCAGTCAGCGTCCCCCGTCGAACCATGGAGAGCTGAGCTCGAAGAGCAGATAGCCAACCTGGAGAGTTGGGGAGATGAACAAGAAACAGAAATCGCTTCAATCATTCTCAAAATGCTCCTCTCATTTCCTGAAAAAGGATACCTGGCCACTCTTGAAGCTTCACTCCGTATAGGGGCTGATTACTGGGCTAAGTTCCTTCCTTCGAGCTGGGACCCTCTTAATAAGCCCTACATGAAAGACGATAAAGGCTGGCCCATGTACCTCGCTGGCGTTTACGGCACGATTTCCTACCAGTCATGGCTGCTGCGTTATGACGATCCTCGCCAAGACTGCTTAGTGCACCTCTTGGTCGACTTGCAGAATCTGCCCAAGGTGACATACCGGAGTTATGGTGTACGTTTCTACTTCCCTCTACTTTTGCTTTCCACGAAGTGTGTAGCTTACGGAGTTCTCATAGGAAGAACATCATGCATACCACAATGACCCAGTCTTTACCTCAATGTGTAACGAGAACTGGAGTGCCAAATTTGGTAAGTCGAACCAACCAGCTTCCCAGATTGGACCTTTTCTCACTTTGACAATAAGCATCCGACCGACCTGAACCGACCGACCCCGAAGCAAAGAAGGATTTCATCCTTACTTGCGACGAGTGGGTCAATTTCTCCTCGTTCTTGGCCCGGTATCATGGCTCCAAAGCATATCAGCCACGCCCTGGGGCCCTGAAGTATCCAAGCGTCGACATTGAGCTCGCCCTTGAAAAGCCCCTTCCTTCTGGAAAGCTCGGCGAATGTAGATTGCTGGTGGCATCCAACTGGTTTATTCATGCTGGAAAACTCATCTACGACAACATGGCGGAGACGGACACGAAGAACTGGAATCTGGGTGTATGGACCCTCTGGACGAAGGCTATTCGCGATATCCTGCAGGCTGGGGGTCAGACGAATGAAGTGACCGCGAGACTCCAAGCCGCTTTAAACATGGTCGTCTCGTTAACCCCAGAGGGGAGTGAGGTAAAGGGAAGCAGTGAGCTTAGAGAGAGCAGCGAGACTCTGAAGAAAAGCGAGATGCAGGAGAGCAGTGAAGTTAAGGAGAGCAGTAAGTTGAAGGAGAGTAGCGAGGCTCAGGAGAGTAGCGAGGCTCAGGAGAGTAGTGAGGTTAAGGAGAGTGGTGAGGTTAAGGAGAGTGGTGAGGTTAAGGAGAGTGGTGAGGGAGAGTGGTGAGGTTAAGGAGAGTGGTGAGGTTAAGGAGAGTGGTGAGGCTAAGAAGAGCACTGAGGCTCAAGAAAGCAGCGAAGTTAAGGAGGGCAGTGAGGCCAAGTAGTGTCACAGCCATGGAACCAGTCGGTTACACCAGGTTCTCGGGGTACATGTAGGCAAGACGTACAAAACTAGTGCGACGTATCAAATGTTTAAGTCGAGAGCTCGCTGCGGCGCGACCTATACCGGGGTTCATCTCCCAAGCTCACATTCTCCGGGTTTGTAGTATGGAGAAGACATGATTCTGCGATACTAGACGCGATTGTTGTCATGACCATTCGAGCCGTTTTGATCCTGGAGACCCGGGCGGTGATGTGTCACCGTGGAGCGGAAGGGAGTGAGGGAAGCTCTCTAAAGCCCGGCGGAGTGATCTATGGTGGGTCGATGGGACCGGACTGTCCCCTCAATCGCTGCTTTAATCTGGAAGTGGTCGATGAACCTCGCGTTTTCGCTGATACTTGACGCCTCCCAGTTTCTCCTACAACAGGTCCCAAAAGCAGCGAGGCCGGCGGGATGTACGCGAGGGATCCGCTGGTGAGACAAACGCAGCGTGGGCAGCATCAGGTGGACACGCCAGCACCAAGGGAAGTCGCCTACTCGCGATGTGCACTCAGGAAGTACGGATTATGCAATGAACATGACATGAATAAACCCACCAAGTCAGTCTGTTACATGACGGCAAAGTTGTCGAGTGGTGGTGTTTTTGGCAGAAAGATCGTCTGCGAGAAATCGAAAAATGGAACGGTATCCAGCTAATGAATATGCTCCTCCCCAGCTTTGGACCTGGCAGGATCATAGTACTCTTCAACTAGTCTATGTCATGCGAGGACGGATGTCATCATCTTTTACGGTACGTCACGCGTGACTTAAGTATGAAGAGACCATGTAAGTCGAAAGTACTAGTTTATATGACAAAGCGTCGGTGCTTCCCGCTCCTGACCACGATTCTGTGCGGAAAAGGTTTAACACGAGCAATCACACCTGGCAGCTGTTCGTATCCGACCTCAATTTCCTTTCCGTCTTCGTCCACGGCTCTTCCAACGTTGAAAACTGCTAAAACCTGTGCAATACATAAAAACATTGTCTGCTCGGCAATGTACCTTCCAGGACAAGCCCTGCGTCCAAATCCGTACACAACATCTGTTGGTGGAGCTTCATTGAACGGCTCAAAATACCGCTCAGGTTTGAACTCCATTGGGTCGTGATACGTGTCGGGATCGTGCATGAGTGACGCAGCTGCAGGAAACAAAAGCGTGTCTTTGGGTATGAAATAGCCATTGTAAGTATCGTCTTCCGTAGTCAAGTGCGGGAAGCCCATGGGTGCAAGTGTGTGCCAGCGAAGTGCTTCTTGGGCTATAGCCTGAACATATGGGAGGCTGTCTTTGTCGGAGAATGAAGGAAGACAGGAGTTTCCCACCACGCGATCGATTTCATCTTGAGCTCTCTTTTGAACCTCTGGGTATAAGACCAGAGCCGCAAAGATGGAGTAAAGCATCGCGCCAGTAGTATCAGTGCCTGCATTGAGCATAGACGCAGCCGTCCAGCCGATAACGTTCTTCTCCTCGGGGTCAATCTTTCGATGAAGATCTTTGATCAAGCCAGCGACGTACGAAACATCATCGTTTCCGTTCGCCATTTGCTCCTTCACGTAGTCGTAAGGAACATCAATTCCCTGTAAGAGATGTTGTCTGTAGATTTCGGCCGTCTTTTTGAATCCCGCGCCCGGTACCCAAGTCGGGATGTATCGTAGCCATGGGATCAAGTCGACAATCCAGGCTCCTGGGCTTGTAGCTTTCGAGAAATCCTCCATTACCTGCTTAGACATGGCAACGATGGGGTCGTTCTTTCCGTCTGTTTTGTAGTTGTAAAGAATTTGTAGCATGATAGAGCCAGCGAATCTGGATTTACAAGTCAGATGTTGTGCATACTCCCACTCCCGAGTTCACAGCAATAACTACTTACTGGTTCAGGTGGCCTTGTAGGGTATCGCTATTGCTGTCGGAGTCTTCGTATATTTGCTTCAAGAACCGTAAAGTTTCGCGCTCCTGGATCGTTTCAAATCGTACGATTGACTTCTTGCTGACTTGAGTTGCCGTAAGTTTGCGATGCAATCGAAACTTTCTGTTGTACGGCATCATGCCCATGATATCTCCATATCCCACTCTGGGTAAGCACGTTAGTTCAACAATTGATTAGTATGGAAGGGAATCCAGTACAGTTCACCAGCAAAAACCAGCTTAGGTCGTGACGCACTCTTGAGAGCGCGTGTCTCTAACATGTCCAGCACCGCTTGTTTGTCATGAAGAATGACGAAAAGTTGACCAAGCACAGACACGGAGGTGATTGGGCCATATTGCTCCCTGTGTTTCTGCCAATGTACCCATTCAAGAGTTTCAGAAAGGGGAAGATCCAAAATGTTGCCGAGAAGTGGCAGACCTTTGGGTCCAGGTGGTAATGGCCCCCTGGTTCGTTGTTGGATGCGGTTAAAGATGATGTAGCCAAGCAGCACTATGGCTCCAGAGTAAATCAGTGAAACGCCAAACATGATGACTCGACAATGAAATCTGGTACATTTGAGAGGTTATTTGTCTACAAAAAGGAGGATTTGATCTCTATTTAGAGATATCTGCCTTTCAACTTATGGAATACGTAGCCCAATAGCTTACACTTCGCTAAACTCAAGCTCATACAGTCAGCAAGGAGCAAGATTAATTATGGTTGACCTCTCTATTCGTTCCGCAAGTAGGAAACGAGTCAGTACGGGCAGCTTATGTCAGATATGAGAGCTGACGCCACACTAATAATCCTTGAGGGAGCTAAGTCAGAATCGCGTGCGCGTGAATGGCTTAACATTATGGCATAAGCCCACCGACCTGATTGGCATTATCGGACTGATCCCTGTGTCCCCCACTACGGGCTGACGACCTAGCCGAACGGCTTTGGGACGAGAAACCGTTGTCACGTGCACTCGCCAATGGGTGTCATCGTTGAAGCCGACAACTGGTATTGACAATGTACGTCTTGAATCCTGTGGCTCTCTCAAAGACTTAACCTGCCGATGTTAGGGACAGTAACAATCTTCTTCACAAAAAAGCTCGAAGCATGAGACATGCTACAGAGTTTCTTGTTTCTTTGAATTGTGCCTTATCGTGAGTGGACTTTGCATGGGCGGTCGAGTAATTCGGGACATATCGACGAATTTGCGAATCTATACTCATCGGAAGACAGAAAGGGCGCTTACCACTGAAATCGTCTTTCGAGCTGCTAGAAGGGTGTCTTAGAATCTAGGGGCGAGCATTTGTGTCTGGTGGGAGTAGTCGGTGCCAGGAAACAGGGATAGCATCATGACAGATTATCGGTACCACCAGCAGCATTGATATTGTGGGATTAGCCTGGCTATGTTGACCAGATCGATCTGCTGGGCCTGCAGTGGGGAACGCCCGTAAGCGGTGAGGTTGATCAAGCGAGGGTATCCCTAGTTCTTTCGAATGAGATTCTTTTCCAACAACCTCAGAAAATATTCTGTGCTGACATGGCAGTTGACACCCGTCAGCGTCAAGCCCAAAGCTTCACGTACAATTCGGCCCAGCGTAAAAGATGCATTCTCACGACCGGCCGTCAAGTTCTCTTCTGGGTTGCGGGTAAGAATCGCATATCCTCCTCCGGGTGTACCTACACCTGCAGCCGGTCCTGGGCCGGGAGTGGGGCCTGCGGGCAGACATTGATTTGATCCGCCGCGACTGCATTTCCGGCATTCGGGGCAGCGTCGGATACCCAGCTTCGGATCGCTGCCGGGCCAATCCCGGTCTGGGTCAGTCTGTCAAGAGCCTTGATCACACATGCAGTGGATTCTTTCGCGATTTGGTTCCTGGAGTAGGCGAAACGTCCCCATAGGTACGAAGCACTTGCAGAAGATAACCCCAGGACATTCTAAGTTCGACCTTGTTCAGCCAGCATAAACGATCTGTAGCTCAGAAACCCCTCCTTTCGCTCTGTGCGTCGTTCAGACGACTGCGAAGGGTTGATCGTGGTACAGCCCTCTCCATCGTGGCCTTGTGAACAGGGAGACCGTTGGTAATGGGCTCAAGTGCCTCAGGCGAAATCAGCATTAGAAATGGATGGTCAAGGTGGTGCCGGCCCACATCCAAAGTGTGACGCTGCAGCCGCGGCGAGCCGATGCCGGTGGGTTCTCGCGATAACCTAAGCCAGTAAAGTGGGGCGATTGCTTAATCAGATGATCTGATAAGATCAAATTCTCCCACCTGCCCACCTGCCACCTGCTCCAAGCGCACTTTCTGCACTCAGCGAATTCCACCTTACTTTTTTGTCCTGAGGTCTCCCCGCCCCTAGCAACCTCAGCTTTGCCATCCTACAACCTCACCTCTCGACGACATATCAACAGCATCATCGCAACCGTTTCGGGGACCCGCGCATCGGCAAATCGCGCACCCCACGGTCGGCCTGCTTCATCGATGCAAATACCCGCAACTCGGCCGTGAACATGCGCGCTCCGTCGTCGGGGCTCCGGCTACTGCCGCCCACCCTCATCGCCGCACTGTGCCTCTTCGTCACCTCCGCCTCGGCCCTCGCAGGCAGCGGCGGCGTCTGCTTCGACACTTGTTCCAACACCCTACGCCAAACGCAGTTCAACGACACGCAGTCCTACAATGGGAGCTTGCCCTCAAGGTCGAGGCTCATCCCGCAGTGCGTGAGCCAGCTGCACATCAAGTCGCTTTACCTCTGCGCCGATCTGCACTGCGACTTGACGCACCGTGTCGCTGGCCTGAGCACCGTCAACCACACTTGCCAGGCCTACATGAACACCTCGCTACCGCCCTTTGAGATCGTCGCTGGTTATTCTGATGAGGAGATTGCTGGCTTGCGGAGATTGACCAAGGCGGAGGGGTCCAACTCGTCGACTGTGCTGAATGAGGTGGTGTTGCCTGCGGATGCTTATTATCAAATCTGGTTCGACTCTCTCGTATGGCACCCAAGCATCTGTCCGGCATGGAACTCAAGGACTGACAACCCATAGGAATCCGTCGAGTACACATACGGTAATCACTACAGATACGGGTACATGCCCTCGATCTCATCTACGCTTGGGTAGCCGTTGCTAATGTCCTCTGCCCAGCTTCTATGTAATTGTCTTCTGGTTCATCGTAGTCGCCATCGGGCTGGGATCTCGCCT